CCGATCGGAGCCACGGCGATGTCCCGAGCATGCCCCGAAGAAGGCCCCAACAGTGTCCAGACACTTCGAAAAGGCTCCTAACGCACAGCCCAAGTAAACCAAATGGGCAGTTACTTCAGCCGTCGTCGCCTTTGTCGGCGTCGTCGTCCAAGTCGTCGTCGTCGTCCTGGTCGACGTCGTCGTCGTCGTCGTCGTCGGCGGCGTGTCCGTCGTCGTCGTTGGCTTCGTCGTCCTCGTCGGCGTCGTCGTCCTCGTCGTCCTCGTCGGCGTCGTCGTCGCCCTCGTCGGTGCCGTCGCCTGAGCGGCTCCAGTGCGGAGTCCACACCATGGCGGCCGGACGGCCGCAGGTCAGCCCTATCGTCTGTACTACAATGCGGCGCCTCCTGCGTGCCAGAAGTCAGGAGGGGAAAAAACACAGACACAATGAATCGTTGACTCCCAGGAAAGTGTGCGAAACTGTGAGAAGTGGGGGGAAGACAGGAACACCGAAAATTTGCAAAAATATAGGGAATCCTGCTATTTGTGTCGATTTACTTCTGTGTCCCAGGGCCCCTTCAAGAAGCGCCTGCGCCAAAATGGGAGGTGTCAGGGGATCTGGCAGGCCCGGGCCACACAGAGCGGGCCCGGGCGTTCCAGGACGGCCCAAGAGGGCCCCAAGACGGCCCAAAATGATCTGGGACGCCCCCAGACGGCTCAAGAGCCCAGACATAACCGCGTTGTAAAAAATCAGGACGGGAGGCTTTTTGGCAATTTTCGGCCCCGGGGGGCCCTCGCCGGGCCTCGGGACCGTCAAAAAACGACTCAGGACGAGAAACCGGTCCCGGGGAAAGGGTCGGGACTGCCAGGGACGCCGTCCTGAAAAAATCAGGACGTCGCATGTCAGGGGAGGTCGTCAGTATGGCCTGCGAGCGGCCCAGCAGGGCCCCAAGAGGGCTCTGGCAGGCCCCCCACGTTCTCGCCTTCTCGGGCGTCCGACGCTCCACGTCGGCCCGAGATTCTCCCCACATGGCCTCAAGGCAGACGGCCCAGCAGGCCCCCAAGCGGGCCCCAGGGCAGCCCAAGACGGCCGCAAGACGGCCGAGGAGGCCCCCACCGGCCCAATGACAGCTCCAGAAAGAACCGAAGAGAGCCCCAGGGGGAGCTCGAACTGACATTTCGCACCCTCCGCCCCAAGAAGACCGCCAGCGGGCCCCCAAGAGGACCCCCAGAAGTCCCAGGAGGCCCAAGAGGCCCGAATCGGGCCCCAGGAGGCCCCCAGAGGCCTCAAGACACCGCCAGCACCGCCTCCAAGAGGCTTCCGAGGGGAGATCCCATCGAGAGCTCTGGGACCGCGCCGGCCACCCAAGAGAGCCCCACGAACGACCCAAGGAGGAGACCAGATTCAGGAGGAAAAGAAACACACAGACACAATGAATCGTCGATTCCCCAGAACATCTGGGAAAATATGGGAAGTGTAGGGGGAAGACAGAAACACAGAAACTATGCAAAAATATTGAGAATCCTTTTATTTGTGTCTATTTACTTCTGTGTCCCGGGGCCCCTTCAAGAAGCGCCTGTGCCAGAATGGGCGTGTGGGAAAATATGGGGAATATTTTTGTTTGTGTGTATTCATTTATGTGTCCCAAGAGCTCCGGTCCGGCATCGTCGAGGCCTCGCTCGGGGCGCCCTCCGCTGGCCTACGGCAGTACGGTTGAGCGGTACCCCGCGGCTCGCGAGGACGAAGAGGAGGAGGAGGAGGAGGAGGAGGAGGAGGAGGAGGAGGAGGAGGAGGAGGGAGGAGGGAGGAGGGAGGAGGAGGGAGGAGGAGGAGGAGGAGGGCTCCTTCGCAAGAGGAGGCCCGATGTTGGGCCGCCCGCGCGCCGAGGCCACCGAGGCAGTCGTGCGCCGGCCTCCTCTCCGGCCTCCCCACCTCGCTCCTCGCGCCTCGCCGGCCCCCTCCTCGCTCCCCTTGCCTCTCTCCCTCCTCGCTCCTCGCTTTTCTCTTCTCGCTCCTCCTCGCCCCAGTCCCACCTCTCTCCTGGCCCCACGCCTCTCTCTCTCTCTCTTTTCCTCTCTTCCTCTCTCCTCGCTCCCTGCTTTTCTCTTCTCGCTGTTCCTCGCCCCTTCCCACCTCTCCTGGCCCCGCGCCTCTCTCTCTCTCTCTCTCTCTTTTTCCTCTCTCCTCGCTCCCTGCTTTTCTCTTCTCGCTGTTCCTCGCCCCGTCCCACCTCTCTCCTGGCCCCCGCGCCTCTCTCTCTTTCTCTCTCTCTCTTTCCTCTCTCCTCGCTCCCTGCCCCTCTCTTCTCGCTTTTCCTCGCCCCGCCCACCTCTCTCCTGGCCCCACGCCTCTCTCTCTCTCTCTTTCACTCTCCGCGGCGCCAGCACCAAGCGGGAACCCGCGCACCGCGCACCCGCCATGTGGCACCGAACGTCACCGAAAACACACCCCTCAGCACCCGCACACATGCCTCGCCGAAAATATCCCTCCATATCTAGGGAAACAAAAAGTGGCATAGACATAACAACTCGGAGGTCCGCGCGGATTTCTCGCGTCCGAAACGCAGGGCCAAGCAACCCCACCGCAGCGTCCGAAACACCAAACCCGACGCACGGGATCGCAAGCCGCATGCCACGTCGCACCGCAAGCAAACACGCCGATATCTCCAAAGCATTCCACCGAGACCCGAGTAAACATCCACGCGCCCACAGTGAACGCACACCAAGCATGCTCGCATGCTCGGCATGCTCACCCTCGATTTTCCCGCACCCCGCATCCAACGCAGTCCGCCGACCACCCGCCGAAGCGGTCGCCTAAGTACAATGGCCTCTTCTCTGCCCCGCCCTCGCTCTACCCCTGTCGAGGCGGTGGCCGACATCCCACCTGATCTTGGTTGCCACCGAGCAGAAGAGCGAGCGACAACGCAACCAAGCAAGCAAGCAGGCAATCTGGCAGGAATGGGATCAGGAACGTTGGCCAGCACGCAAACAGAAGCACTTGGTGTAGAGTTGCTTGGGCAGCAGGCTAGCAGCGCCCATGACGAGCCCGGAGCCGTCCAAGACGGCCCCAGACGGCCCCAAGACGGCCCAAGGGGCACCCAAGACGGCCCAAGAGGGCGAGGAGGAGGAGGAGAACGAGGGGGGGGGAGGAGGAGGAGGAGGAGGAGGGGGAGGAGGGGAGGAGGAGGAAGAGGAGGAGGAGGAAGAGGAGGAGAAGGAGTAGAGGAGGAGGATGAGGAGGAGGAGGAGGAGGAGGAGAAGCGGCTCCCAGGAGGCCGACAGACAGCCCAACAGGGCCAGAACACAAGCCCCGGGGCGCGGCCACGACCACGGAAAAGAAGCCCCGACCTCGAGGTGTATTTTCCGACGCCCTGGGGCGGAGCAATCAACCCCAGATGGGGCCCAGACTTCTCGCCTGGATCGTTCGTGGATCAACGACGCCCACGACAAATAATTGCAAAGGATTGCAAACAAAAAACCTTTTTTGCAATCCTTCTTTTTTTGCAATCCTTCTTTTTGTTTGCAATCCTTTGCAATCCTTCTTTTTTTTTGCAATCTTTTTTTTTGTTGCAATCCGTAACCTCGGAGGCCATTCTCCAGGGTCCCGCGGTCGGCCCCCCCAAAAAAACCCAAGGCCATCCCTCGGCCCGCCAGGTCGACGGAAAATAAACACCACGCTCGAGGTTTATTCGCCGAGGCCCCAGGTGGGCAAAAGGGTTCTGGACAGACGTCTTTCGCCAACCTGCGCTTTGGCGCTTACTCCGGAGTTCTGGGTTTCGTTTCTGCGGTGTTCCGTCTCTACCCTCCCAATGCATGAGCTGGGGCGCGGCCACACCCACGGAAAATGAACCCAGACTTGGAGGTTTATTTTCCGACGTCCCAGGGCGGAGCAATCAACCTTCGCCCAGGACGTTCGTCGGCTCCCCACGTCCACGGAATGCCAGTACCAACTCTGAAGGTTTCCCCCCACGCTCCGGATGGGGCACAGACGTCTCGCACGGATCGTTCGTGGATCAACGACGCCCACGAAAAAGACTGCGCAACCTCGGAGGCCATTCTCCAGTGTCCCTCGGTCGGCCGAGAAATCGCCCCCCAAGGCCATCCTTCGGCCCGCCACGTCGACGGAAAATAAACACCACGCTCGAGGTTTATTCTCCGAGGTCCCAGGTGGGCAAAAGGGTTCTGGAGAGACGTCCTTCGCCAACCTGCGCTGTGGCGCTTACTCTGGAGTTCTGGGTTTCGTTTCTGCGGGGATGGAGGGTGGAGGAGAAACCAATCTTGTGTCAGAGAAGGGCGCGCAGCGGTTCTACCCTCCAGCTCGTCGCACCCCTCACACGGTTCGTGGCTGCATGCGGAGCGCTTCCCGTCTCCGAGGGTGCGGGCACAAGGGCGCGAAGGTTACCGGGCCTCGCGCGGCGCAGCGCCGCGAGGTGTTTGGGTGGCACAGGATCTGGGCGTGCTTCCGAGAGGCGGCCCAGGCGATCGACGCAGAGAGGATGCCAGCCTCTGCCCAGGCTCGGGCCAGACGACATCGGCGGAGGCCGAGTTCACACACAGACAGTTCGCCTTCAGGAGGGCTCCTCGCCGCCACGGCTGGACGCAGCAGACAACACTGGCGCGCTTCGAGAGTGGGGGGTCCTCCTCCTCCTCCTCCTCCTCCTCCTCCTCCTCCTCCTCCTCCTCCTCCTCCTCCCCCTTCCCCCTCCTCCTCCTCCTCCTCCTCCTCCTCCTCCTCCTCCTCCTCCTCCTCGCCTTCAATCCACCCTCTCTACGCGGCGGGGATTGGATCGATGGCCAGGGACCGATTCTGACAGCTCTGGCCCCCCCCTTCCCTCGGCGGCGACGGGCTGTGCAGGCCCGCGGGACGCCCCCGCCAGTTCGCCGGAGCGTGGGCCCCGACCACCGGCCAGGCGCCGGCGGCCAGACAGATGTCGTGGCCAGAGGCCACGGGTCAGCCCGACTCCTTCCTTCTTCTCCTCCTCCTCCTCCTCCTCCTCCTTCTTCCGTAGCCATTTTGGCTCAAGATGCATTGTTCCACAGGGGAACACGTGGATACCGCTAGTCCGCGGCCAGTGCCAGGGCGTTTCCGCCCGACAGACAGATGTCGTGGCCAGACAGATGTCGTGGCCAGAGGCCACGGGTCAGCAGCTGAAGCTCTTGTCCCCTCAAGCAGAGTAAGGCGCGAGGGCATAAGAGTGTTTCGCTTTGCGCGGCTAAGAGTACAGCGTGTGCGCACGTTTTGTGGTCTCAAGGGCTTCACGACGAGCTCCATTGGAGTCGCGCGCGAGTCCTCTACGAGCCTTTTTGAAGCAATCTTGAGACACTCAGCCCGACTCAGCTACTGCGCTGGGATCAGCGCGTGCCGGAAGGGCGAGCAGTGGCAGCGGGCGCTGGCGCTGCTGAGCGAGATGTGGGAGGTGAGGTTGGAGCCCGACGTCATCAGCTGCAGCACCGGGATCAGCGCGTGCGAGAAGGGGGGGCAGTGGCAGCGAGCCCTGGCGCTGCTCAGCGAGATGTGAGAGGCGAAGCTGGAGCCCGACGTCATTTTCATTACAATGCCAGACAGTCCGTGTGCCCAAAGGTTATTCAGCTCCCCCTAGACCGTGGTGCCTCCACGTTCTGGCCCAGAGCGGTTCGGAGACCTCCGAACCTGTCCAAGAACCCCACGACGGCCCCGAAAGCGGTATCCCGAACTGCAGCCACAGCACGCGGTTGCGGCAAGCATTACCAACAGCACACAACAGCGGCAGCAAGCAGCAGTGCGAAGTAGCATGCGCGGAATGCGAACTTCGATCCCCGCGTCATCATTTCAGCTTTTCGGCAGCATGTCCACCATCACATGCTGATTCGCGCAGCTTTCGTGGACGGAGTCCACGGGTCAGCCCTAGTCTCTCCTACAACGCGTGGACCAGCGCGTGCGAGAAGGGCGAGCAGTGGCAGCGGGCGCTCGCGCTGCTGAGCGAGATGCGGGAGGCGAAGCTGGAGCCCGACGTCGTCTGTACTACACTTCTGGCCGAAGCGCGTGCGAAACGGGCTCTCCGTCAGAAGCCCGCCTCGGGGTGCCCGCAGGGCGTGCGGAAGACACCAAAACCGTGCCCCGGGCCGCCTCCAGGACGCTCCCCGACGATTCCGGAAGGCCCCCGGGCCGCTCGCCGGCGGCTCCCGGGCCCCCAGCGGGGCTCCCGGGCCCCCAGCGCGGCCCAAGACGGCCTGCCAGTGAGCCTCCAGGATGCTCCCCGACGGCCCCAGAAGGCCCCTGGGCCGCTCGCCGACGACTCCACGACCCCCAGATCGCCCCAAGACGACTTCCCGCGAGCCCCTAACCAAGCCCCATACCCCATACCGAGCCTTCTCGCCCCCCAACGGGCCTCCCAGATAGCCTCGAGGACGCCCCCAAATGGCTCCAGAAGGACCTTCCCATGACGCCGGAAGTTGCTCAACCCCACCCCAGGTTCTGGACACTCTGAGCTTCCCCAGGCCCTCTCGGGAGATTCCTGTCGACCCCAGCCGCGGCCGCGGCATGCTCTCACGGTTTCAAATCCCGTTGTTACATTGTACTCAGGGCTGCAGGAAGCCTTCGATGACACAAGAATCCTTCAGGGACCACTCAGAGATAGCCCAGACCCTCACAAGACACTCGAAGACAGCCACCAGCCCCGGAGCCTGGAGCCTGCAGCAAAAGTCCCGAACACTCCCGCAGGCGTCGGCGACACATGCGCGTCGGGGACCAACACGTTGACCTGCTAGCTGTGGATTTTCCTCGGGTTCACACTAAGCGCGTGCGGAAAGGGCGGGCAGTGGCAGCCGGCGCTTGCGCTGCTAAGCGAGACGTGGGAGGCGAAGTTGGAGCCCGACGTCATCAGCTACGACGCTGGGATCATCGCATGCGAGAAGGGCGTGCAGTGGCAGCGGGCGCTGGCGCTGCCGAGCGAGAGCTCGAACCCGACGTAAACAGTTACAGCGCTGGGATCAGCGCGTCCGAGAAGGGCGTGCAGTGGCAGCGGGCGCTGGGGCTGCTGAGCGAGATGTGTGAGGCGACGCTGGAGCCTACATACACACGCACACATAAAAACACACACACAACCCACACACACAACACACTAAACACAACACACTAAACACAACACACAACACACAACACACCACACACACAACACACAACTTACAGCACACAACACACACACAAGCACGCAACACACACACACACACACAACACGCAACAACACAGAACAACACACAACACACAGCACACAACACACATCACACAATACGCAACACACAACACTCACAACACGCAACACACAACACACAGCACACAACACACAACACACAACACACGACACGCAACACGCAACACACAGCACACAACCCACACCGCATAAAGCACAGCAGACACCACACAACACACACACATAACACAACACATACGCACACACACAACACACAACATAAACAACACACATCACACACAACCCACCCAACACAAACACAACACACACACACACACGCACACACACAAACACACACACACACGCACACACACACACACACACACGCGCACACACAAACACACAACCACACACACACGCACGCACGCACGCACGCACGCACACACCGACCCGCACACACACACACACACACACACACTCACACACACACATTCACACACACTCACACACACACACATTCACACACACATTCACACACACACATTCACACACACACACACACCTCACCCCCCCCCCACATCCTTACTTCCTATGGTTAAACACCCCCACATCCCCACCTAGCAGGCCGATAGCAACCCCGCCGTCCTGATTGTCAATCACAACACAAACTCATTTTCTGTCTCGCCAACATGTCGTCGAGTTGCGAAAAGTGTGGCAGGAATGGGACGGAATGAGCATCGCTTGGGTAACCGGAAGCGGGTGTCTTGGGGCCATCTCGGGCCGCCACGGGGCTCTCTGAGGGCCATCTTGGACCCGTGTTGTGCCGTTTTGGGCTCTTTTGGACTGCCTGGAAGCCCTTTCGGATGGTTGTGGGGCGATTTTGGAGCCTCCCAGGCGGCTTCGGACGCCCAGAAGGCCGCCGTCTTGGAGTATCGGGAAGCCGAAAAGAGGAAACCCCTAAATTCACCAAAAACCCACAGAAAATTAATGATTTGTGCCTCTTGGGGCCTGCTTGGGAGTGCTCTTGGAGGCCTCTTTGGGGCCGTCCTGGAGGCATCTTGGGCCATCTTGAGGTCACGTCGGTCACTCTTGGAGCGCTCTTGTGCTGTCTTGGGGGTCTCGAGGACGTCTCCGATGACCCCCCTGATCGCCCTAGGTGTGTTGGGAAGGCTTGGCAAAACGCCCTGCGAGGCCCGCGGGGCCGCTTGGAGGCCCGTCCGGAGGGTCCCAAAGCCCCAGATCCCGAGAGTCCGTTTTTTTTTTGGGGGGGGGTCCCCCCGCCTGGGCTTATAGAAATATAGGAAGAGGAATATACATTATATATACATACATTATATATATATATAGAGAGAGAGAGAGAGAGAGAGAGAGAGAGAGAGAGATAGAGAGATAGAGAGAGAGGGGGAGAAAGAGAGAGAGAGAGGGACAAAAAGAGAGAGAGAGAGAGAGAGAGAGCACAAGCAGGAGCAGCGGCGCGGGGCCGCAAGGATCGGCAGCGGCCCGAAACAGCGAGCGACGAGCTCAGGCCCGAGAGGGACGGGCGGGCTCCCCTATGGAGCGGGGCGGTGCAGAGGTGCTCGGCCCCCCCCCCCCCCACCGTGTGGCACAAGACCTGGACATCCGCAGCGGCCTGGTAGACTCTGCGCACGCGCGCGCGCACGGCCATGTGTATGAGCGTGCACCGCCGTGCACGGCACGTGTGCCGACGTGGCCCTGCGCGGCCCTGCACGCGGCGCAGCGGTGGCGCGGCGTCCTGGGCTCCGCGCAGGGCCCTCAGCGCATCCCCCCGCGGCGCGGGACTGCCGCACAGCCCCTGCCCATGGGCTCGCGGTTCGCCAGGGGGCTTCTGGGACGCTATGGAGCTCGGCTGCGCGTCGGAGTGACCCTTCGCGGGAGACATTTCGTGCGGGCCTGCGCGCTGGCCTGCGCGCTTGGTGGATCTGCATCCCGTCCTACGGAGCAGGTAGAGAACGCGCCCTCCTTGTCCTGAGTTCCGGGCCCCTCTTCGGAAGGCCGCGGCGCCCAAGGATCCCAAGAGCGGCTCCTCGTGCTTCGAGGAGGGTAGGGCGTACGCGGACGAGAACGTGACCGTGTCCGCTCCCAACGGAGCCCACGTGAGGAGCGCGGAGGCATGCCAGGATCGGGAGGGGGCGTCGGCTATCCACTTCGATGATGGTGATGCTGCCGTTGATGATGACGGCGATGGTGATGGTGATGGTGATGGTGATGGCGATGGTAATGATAATGGTGATGGTGATGGCGATGGTGATGGTGATGGCCATGGTCATGGTCATGGTGATGATAGTGATGATAGTGACGATACTGATGATGCTGCTGCTGATGATGCTGATGCTGTTGCTGTTGATGATAATGGCGATCATGACTATGATTGTGATGATGACGATGGTGGTGTTACATATGATGGTGATGATATTGGTGACGGTGATGGCGATGGTGATGATGGTGATGGTGATGGTGAGGATGAGGATGTTAATGATGACGATACCGTTGATGTTGATGATTATGATGACATTGATGATGATGATGATGCTGATGATGATGATCATGATGATACTGATGTTTGTGATGATGATGATGTTGGTGACGTGATGGCGATGGTGATTGTGATGATTAACTAGAATGGTGGTGATGATGGTGCGGTTGTTGATGATGCTGGTGATAGTGGCGATTGTCATGAGGTTGATGATGCTGTTGTCGATGATGATGGTGATGATGGTGATGATGGCGACGATCGTGTAGTAACGTTGCTGATGGTGAGTGTGATGATTCTGGTGATGCTGTTGCTGCTGATGATGGTGGTGATGATGATGATGCCCTACGCTTTGGCGTGATTCGCACTTGAAATTAGCACGATTAGGGCCCCCCCCTGATATGGACTCTGAAGACGGGTTTAAGCACAAATGACCAAGAAGGAGGCGATGGGTCTCTTGCCTCGAGTGCAGATTGAGGCACTGTCTAGATAGTAAACACGCTGGATCCTTTAAAGTAGCTAACCGATCCCTAAACCGAGCCCGAAAACGCTCATCGTCGGCCTCGTCTTTGAGCTCGACCTCGACCCCTCCTCCCCCCAGTCGGGAGGAGGCGGGGGAGGAGGGGGAGGCCGGAGAGGGGCGGAGGTCGAGGGAGTGAGACGAGCTAACTGGGCCTCAGATAACCCCGCGGACCGATGGGGCAGGGGTCTCCTCCTCCTCCTCCTCCTCCCTCCTCCCTGCTCCTCTTTCCTCCTCCTCCAGGCTCGAGGATTCTAGCAACAGTTTTGTGCATAGCAGCGGTCAAGGAAAACCGGTCCCTGGCATCTTGAATTATGGAGGTCGGGAGGGGGGGGGTCTTGACGGCGTCAGCGGCAAGCTGCTCAACATTGCTGTTCAAGTCTTCGGCCAGCGGGGCGGCGGCTCCACGGTTCACTCCGTCGTCGCCCCGGTGAGAGAACACGTGCTCAATTCTGAACATCGCAGGCTTCACAATGACAGCCCGCTGGATCTGGCACCAGGTGTCCGCTCAGCTGCAGCTGGGAAGGCCTCCGCCGTCAAGTAGGTTCTTGAACTCTTCCACGCACTCCTTTTTATCACAGTAGATCCACACTGGCCTCTCGGCGACTCGAACGACATCTAGGAAGGCGCGAGCTTCAGCACGGGCACTGCTCTGACGTGGTCCGTACAGCTTGGATGAAACATTCAGTCGGTGTTGTGGCGCCACGAATGCAGCATAGCCAGCACGAGCCAACCATTGGTTCTTCGGGAAGCGACAGGCGCCGTCGGTAGCCAACGCGAGCCATCGCCGATCTTGATTGTCTATCGCGTAGTTGACGCCGTCTTCGTCGGGGTCTCCGTCCAGGGCAGGTGGCGGCCTGTGCTGCAGCGGTTCAGGCAGGTCCACCATGTCGTTGTAGAGCTGGACGGTCTCGTCGTCTAAGTAGGTGGGGCCGCAATGCCGCGTGGACGGCGGCCAGTGTTCTCGATCTTCCGTCTGAGGTAGGAGACGTAGGGGTTCCCGTTCTTCGCCAGCAGCTGCAGTTCCACATCATATGTTCTTGCGTCGCTTGCTCCGTGCCGCAGAATCTGCATACAGCGGAATCATATTCTAAAATCCCAGCTCTTTGGATTATGTGCTATGTATGATCTCCACCTGCCAAGCACACCGATCAGAGACCTCGCTGCCACTCGATGAGGCGAAACTTCTTACTGCATGTGCACAATAGCCAAGGGTTTGCAACCATGTCGAAACTGAATCGTTGCTTGGCAACATCGCCAAGGTCGTTCCTGGTCGCCGGGATCTTCTGTTGAAGCCATCGTCTCTGAGCGTCGCGTAGATGGTGCATGAGGTCGTCACTGTGCCCTTCCAACCACTTAATGGGCGTGCCCAGGTCAGTCTCGAGCTCGTCGAATTGTGGCCACCTCCACTGCAGCTTGTCAACCATCTTGATGCACGTGCGCACTGGCCCAGGGAATGCGCTGCTCACGTCCTGGATGTACTCGCGAAGATCGGCCACCAAGCTTCGGAGATGGGGTACTCGCTGGACTTCGCGTCGAATAGATAGAATTGTCTCCCGCTGGCTGATGGTGCACGGGTCGAGGAGATGTCCCTTCAGAACGACGCTCCTCGAAATCCACTGGCAGGGCCACTGGCGTCCCTTTGGCATGATCGCCGCAAACAGCGCCTTGTGGTAGTCTCGCAGCTTGAGCTTGGATGGTGCTCCTAAGCCGGAGCCAACGGCGACCATGGATGCAGCCATTGCTGCCATTGCTTGTGCAACCCCGGCGCGCTTCTGCACAGGGAGTGGCAGCCTCCGAACTCGACGCGGTCGTGCAATGGCGTCCGTGATGTGGCGGTCCATCAGCGTTGTGTCCTCACATATCTTCACCGCCTCGCGCGACAATCTGGCTGCCCACCAGTCGGAAGGCTCACCTGACGGGGAGGTGCTGGCCGCGGACCTGCGTGCTGCTCAGCGCGTCGGCCATGCCCTCGTCGGCTGTCCAAGCGCCCGTCTGCCAAGGTGTAGCTCCTGCTCTGGCAGCTTGTCGAGCAGCAGGGATTGTCGCAGAGATTCACGTGTGCCAAGCATGTCCCACAGTGTAGAGTTCGAATCGTCAATGGACGTCCTGGATAATGATCGTGGCAACTTTCTGTGCTGCCTGGCCGTCCATACATGCCTCAGAGGTTGTTCATCGGCGATGCTGAACGTCGAGCCCTGCGAGCGTGAATCCGTGGCCCCGATGGGCTGGCGAAAGGTGCAAATGTGCCTGACATTCTGAGGCAGCGCAGGTGCTTCTTGTTGAAATCTTCCCGCGCTCGGAGGACGCTTTCAGGACCACCTGCGTGCCTCCGTAACTCCATGCATGCTGCATATCTCGGTCACCAGCAGGTCGAAGCACTTCTTGCGGTCGAGGGCGAGGCACAGCCAGGCTCCAGCTGCGGCCCCGAAACTAGATCGGGCGGCACCATTTGCGCCTCCAGGGTTCGAGCGTTCTGTGGATCGGGACCTCCCAGGAGGGAAGCTAAACAGAGAGAATGGAAAGTCATCTCTGCTCTTCAAGAAGGATCCTATCTCCCTGCTTCAAAGCTGGATTCGGCGCATGAGCTGCAGCCACGGGGGCACGACCCGCCTTCTGCGTCGAGCGCGGAGCCGAGGCGAACACTGCCTGGATTGCCGATAGCAATGCCTTCGCCTCGGCCGTCGCCCACCCGTCAAGATCTCCAGCCCTGCGAGAGGGGCGTGCCTTGAGAACAGCGCAAGCCTCAGCAGTGCTCAGGTGGGGCTCAGGGCATGGGCAAGTCGGGGGAAGTTCATTTTCGCTTTCAGCCTTGAAGTCGGCCCACGGCGGGGCCTCAGAGGATCCGCGATGCTTGCATAAACCTCAGCAGTGCTCAGGTGGGGCTCAGGGCATAGGCGAGTCGGGGGAAGTTCATCTTCGCACTCAGCCTTGAAGTCGGCCCACGACGGGGCCTTAGAGGATCCGCGATGCTTGCATAAGCCTCAGCAGTGCTCAGGTGGGGCTCAGGGCATGGGCGAGTCGGGGGAAGTTCATCTTCGCACTCAGCCTTGAAGTCGGCCCACGACGGGGCCTCAGAGGATCCGCGATACTTGCATAAACCTCAGCAGTGCTCAGGTGGGGCTCAGGGCATGGACAGGTCGGGGGAAGTTCAGCTTCGCATTCGGCCTTGAAGTCGGCCCACGACGGGGCCTTAGAGGATCCGCGATACTTGCAGAATATCGGTTCCGAAGTAGCCTGCATCAGCTTAATGATGCCGAGCGAGTTCGATATGATGTCGTGGGTGTCAGGCTTTGTCAGGACGCTGGTCGTGTTTGGGGCTTGCGCTTTTATCCAGGCACATACCTCTCGCCCTCCTCGCTGGCATGATTCTGAGTTTCGAGCTCGCCAGAGTGGAAGTCGCTGCCGCTGTGCTTCTTCTGCGAACTGGAGCTGCTCCTCCAGAACGTGTTGGGCCGCTTCGCGCGCCTGCGGAGCTGGCGGCCAGGAGAACGGGGTGGCCACCGTCCTGGCCACGACGCGCATACTGGTTGACACTGGCGACTCTGCTCGCATATGATGGCTCAAAGCTGGTGGTAGATCTGTACGTCGATGCAGCTGCTGATTCCATGCTGCTCGTAGCGCTCGGCGCGCATGCTCAGCCCCTGTGAGGCGACGGTACAGCTTGGTGCCCTGCCGCTCAGACCTGCTGTGGCGAGATAGGAGGCGGTGCTGCCCACCCTTGCAGCAACTTCGGGGGGCCTGCCAGGACCCTCGGTTCCCTGCTTGATGTGACCATCGCAGCAGGTGTCCAACACATCTTCACCGAGCTGGTTCGCGATCTCGAAGAGTCGCTCAGGGTCGCCGCGGGCCGCGTCGAGCTCGTCCGAGGTTTGCTGGACCATCTGCTCGCCGAGCGCCTCCTGTTCGGCGTAGGGCATGGTGATGGCCTGCACGTCGTATTCCTTAGGTCGCTCCCATCGTCGAACATGAGCCGAAAAAGCCTCCACATTCAGCGTGGCCTCAAGGCCAAGTTGCCCTGGGCACTTGAGGTCTCGAACGAGATGGAAGTTGACAGCCATCGAGTTGGCGCCCTCATCTGCGAAAATATCATCTATTCTGGACGTGTGCTCTCCACCCTCATCTCG